ATATAATTTAATTAATTAGTTATTGAATTATAAGTAAATATATGATTCTGTTTTTTTTTGCACCATACTGTATATATTTAATAAAAAATATTGGACTTAAATATTTAATAAAATAAATATAAAAATTTAAAATAAAAAATATATACAACTTGTTCAAAAAATCTTTGAACAAATTTTCAATTTATATTTTTATTTATAATTCAATAAATAATTAATAAAATAAAATAAAACTTTGAATATATATTAATAAGAATATAAAAAACAAATTTTTTAATAGATTTTTATTGATATATTATTGAAATTTATTGAAATTTATTGTTACATCAAAATAAAAAATTTTAAAATATGTAATTTAATTAAATTACAATAAATAAATAAATAAATAAATTATTTATAATAAATTTAATTTATTAATTTGTAAAATAAAAACAAAATTAATTAAAAAATAACTTTCATTAAATTTTAAATTGTTTATTTGATTTTTTAATTAAAGAAATTTAACAAAATTTAAAATAAAATATAAGATTTTTTTTAAAATTTATATTTAAAACAAAATTTAAAAATTTTTAAAAATAATTTTTATAAAATTAATTTGTACATTATAAAAAACTTTTTAGAATTTTTATTAATCAAATAATTTTATTTAAATTTTAAAATAATTTTTTTAAAAAAATTTTATATAGCAAAAATTATTTTTTCATTCATAATTTATATATAAATTTATATATAAAAAACTTTTAAAAAATTTTTAAACAAACTTTTTTTGATTTTAAAATTAAAATTTAAGATAAATTTATTAATAAAGTATTAAAAAAAACTTATTATTTTATTTTTTATATTTTAAAAAATACATCTTTAAAATTTTATAACAAATAAATAAATAAAATATTTATTTATTAAAAAAAATATTTGTCCAAAGACTTTTTGACAAACTGTATTATGTTAATTTAAATTAAAAACGATCTAAAATTAAGCAAACTTAAAATGGCGATGATGATGTATTTGTACTACAAAGTCAACTAATGATATCATAGAGAAAGCAAATAAATACATGAATGCATTGTTTGTCCGTAATTTGATTTTGACAATTTCTAAACATGATCACAATGCTTGTCAGAGATTATTGACCAGACTTATCCAAAGTCTAACAATTTATATTCCCTAATACTATGTGTACTAATATAGACGCATGCATGGGATATTACGCAAATTAATTTCAAAATAGGCAAAGAAATGTTTTTGTTCCTAAATTCGGCATCTTTCTGCGCACGTACACAATTTTTTTTCAAATATATAAGGTGGGCTAACCCTAAAATTGTTGACTTTCAAACATTCTCCGAATATCGTTATACAGCCTCGAAAAATCGCTTCAATATCCACGAAGTAAGGTAGCATGAAGGAAATTTCATACAGCTTTTACCTCGCATCATATAGGATTTATACACATGATATTAATGTTTGTTGTTCTCTAGATAATAATGAAGTTAGAAATTGCTTTGAGACCCAAGGAACCTGCCACAGCTGGCACCGAAGTTAAACTAATAGCAAACTTTCTGGAGGTCTTGGAGGTACGACAGTCAAAAAATTATAGAAATTCATTGGTCCTTATTAATCAATTTTTTTATTATCCTAGTTCCAATTTCCTAATGTCGAAGTGCACAAAATTGAAGTAAAACAACAAAGAAAGGAAGCCAAAAAGAAAGAGAAAGGAGATGTCTTTAATAAAATGTTAAAGGACGGGAAATTTGGACCGAATTATCCCGCATATGACGGTAACATGGTTTACTCAATAAATAAACTTTGCAAAAATGGAAGCCGGGAATATGAAGTATGGAATTGAATACTTTTTTCTTCGAGTCATTCATCATTTTCTAAATACAAGTTACATTTAGATTGCCCTCCATTCGAATGTTCCGGCAAAACGATACAGCGCTCTTATTGAATGTGATAAGACGTTTAGACTAAAACCGATGCAAGAATACATCAAGGAGAATTCAACTCAGCGTTGGGATGAAACAATTCAAAGCTCATTGCGAGTACTTAATTCGTTCCTTAATACCAAAGTCCACGCTGAATATCAAACTTTCAATAAAGCGATATTCCCGCCTCTCAAAAACCAATATTTTTTACCTGGTGGAATTAAGCTTTCAAAGGGATTCTGTCAGAAAATTCGTCCGGGATGGGGTAAGAAAATTTTAATCAAAAATTATGACGCCTAACATATTTCTAATGTTGATTGGTTAATATCACTCTAGGTCGTTTGTTTGTTAATGTCGATATATACGCAGCAACATTCTATCCGGATATGCCGATGATCGATATTCTTCCTAAGATTCTCGCGCGTAATTGTCCAGAAAAAAGTAAAGACGATTTGCGAAGAGGGCTCTCCGAGGACGAAATCAAGTTTTTGTATAAATACCTTAGGGACGTGAGGATTACGACGACTTATCGCACCCAACCTAATAAAGAGCATAAAGTTGTGTCCATCTCATCTCGTTCTGCCGATGAGCAATTTTACAAGATTAATGGAAGAAAAATGAATATTACCGAGTATTACCAGGAATGGAATATGAATTTACAGTATCCCAAACTTCCGTGTATTGTAATAAAAGAAAAAAATCCAGAAGATACTCATATTCCATTAGAATTTTGCGCCATAGTTAAGGGTAAGTTTTTATTCACAAATCCGGTACAAATTGATTGTTCTAATTGTGCAATACTTCATACAACGCACATTAGGTCAAAAATATCCTATCGATAGGCTTAACAAGTTTCAACACCAAAATATGATCGAACAGACTGCGATCACGCCAGAAAATCGTTTCAAAGCGATTAATCACGCCGTTGAAAAGTATTTTAAACACAATAGCGATCCTGTTCTACAATCTATTGGGATGAAAGTTAGCCCTACATTTGCTGAAGTACCTGGTAATATACATTAATATTATTTATATTCTTTTCACAAATTATATGATATTTTGCTCTTTGCTCACGTATAATCATTTTGAATTCTAGCAAGAACACTAGAGCCACCAAAAACTCTAGACTCCAACAAATTCTTTAGGGTATGCAAGGAGTTTATTGTTATCTATAGTTAGTTGTACGCATGTATTCATGACAAAGTTCGCTCGTTTTAGCCCGCGCAATTATACAATTGGTCCGTGTGTGTGTTTGATAATGAAGTTCCTGAACAAGCCGTTGATATTCGTATGAAAATATTAATTGAGATACTAACAGAAAAGGGCATGGTATGTTTTTAACCAATTTTTATGTTATATTTTTGATATGCGTTATCAGCATGTACTCACCTACTTATATTTATAGAAAGTGACTAACCCACCAAAAATTACTCGTGCTAATCCCCAAGGAGATTTTAATTCCGTAAATAAATTTCATATTGTGCAAATGTGTAAAATTCAGGTTGCTAATTTGTGTATTTGTTGACTTTATGTAGATCCTTATAGGAGCTTGCAAGGATGCAAGAGTCGATGCCACCAAATCACCTCAATTAATTGTTTGTATTATTCCACCCAAGATAAATGGCAGTACCTTATACCCGGAGATAAAAAAATTTTGCAGCACAAAATTGGGAGTCACGACTCAAGCGATCAATGGAAACAATATGAAGGACAAAACCAAGTGGAGGCAAGTTTGCTATAATCTTGCTCGCAAGATAAATACAAAAGTGGGAGGAGTAAACAATAAATTGGTCGGCGATGAACTCAACTTCAAGTCAAAGAAGGTATTTAAATTTTATTTGTCTTATTCTCTTCGTGTAATTTTTCTGAGATTTTCTGGTAATTTGCTCGACATTAGTACATTGTTTTTGGTGCCGACGTCTTTCACCCTGGCAACGAAGATAAGAAAAAGGGACATCCAAGTGTTGCAGCTATATGTGCCTCAATGAATAAGGATGTCACCAAATATTTAGCGAGATACTGCATAAACAAGAAATTGAAAAATGAAATGATCGAAAAACTTAATGACATGGTGATCGATCTGATTATGCAATATAGAAAGTCAAACAACTTTTTTCCGGATCATATCCTCTTCTATCGAGATGGTGTTGCAGAAGGTCAATTTAAAAACGTAATGGAAGAGGAACTACAGCCCTTGTACAATGAACTTGAAAAGGTCTATAGGAGTCATAATCTTGAGGCTCCAAAGTTAACATATGTTATTGTGCAAAAACGACATCATGCTAGGTAATTTAATTAGGCCATATATGGATATACAACATACGAGCTATATATCTTTATCTATATATCATATTTTATTTAGGTTTAAGCCAAGCGAAACAAGTGACGCCGATCAGACTGGAAACTGTAAGCCTGGAACAGTTGTTGACTCTGTCATCGTTGTGCCACAACACTTTACCTTCTGTAAGATACATTTCTTAAAACTATATACATATCATATATCCGTTTGTTCTGAATTTGGATTTTGATTTTTTTAGTTTTACAATCGCATGCTGCTTTGCATGGAACGGCCAGACCGGCCTACTATCATGTAATTTTAAATGGTGGAGAATTCACGGCCGACGAGATTCAAGATTTGACAAACAAGTTGTGCTATTTATCCGCCAGGTAATTATTTGTTTTATTCATTTTTTCTTCAATCTAACGATCACGTAATGATTATACGCAAATCCCTTTGAAAAGATGTGATACACCTATTTCTCTTGTCACGCCCGTACACTACGCTCATAATATTGCAAATCTTGTCAAACATTTTGTCACCTACGAGGAACAACTACCACCAAAACAACAAAAATTTGGACGCAGGAAAAATACAAATGGTCCTGTTTTTCCTGAATATGCTAAAAATGCTGATTGTCCGGCCGCGGAATCAAAAATTGAAAATCAAATGCATTTCGTTTGAAAACTGAGTGAAAGATCTTAATTATTTCCATTTTCTTATTTTCTTATAAATGATCTATATTTATTTACCCATTTATTATTCATGTATTTTATGAAGAGTAATATTCGAAATGTGGTTTGGTACTTGCGAACTGGGCTCACTTTGAAATCAATCAGTCGCGTTCAAAAGGAGCTCAGTCCGCATTTAGTAAACCTTGTTCCGTATATCAACTTTTCATATTATCATTGATGCTTTTCACAAACCCCTCAAAAGTTGTATCTTGATATATTTGAAATTTATGAATAAAGATGAAATTATTAACTTTAAAAACGAATCAATGTTTTACGGAATAATTTTTTGAATAGAAGGTTAAACAAAAGTTGTACATACATGTATATATATATAATATTGATAAGATTTTGGACGAAATTATACATATCGTGAAATTATGTGCTATTTTTTATGCGACCCCGGAAATTAACAAAAATTTTGCATAACAGAATTTTAATCATTTATTTTTATAGAACTTAAATCTGTATTTTGCCTTTTGTATAATTGGAATAAATTTATTTACTAATATTAAGTACTAGCTAAAATGTACGGCAACACACTACTCAATATTTTTTAAAATAAATCATCTTATTATTTATCCTATAATTTTTCCTGTATTTTAAAACCATTATTTGTTTTATTTTTTATTGATCTTTTATACACAGTATATTATGAATTTATTTAAAATATTTTTTGATCCATTCTTATAAATTTTAAATTTTATTAAAATCAAAACCATTAAATAAGTAATTCTTTATTATAAATTGACATTTATCTTATTGATAAAACAATAAAAACCAATTTTTTATTTATAAATTAATTTCTAATATTTTCTAATATTATGTAAATATATTTGAAAACAATATAAATAATATATTTTTTTAATGTTATTTTTATAAATAAATATTATTTCTTTATTTTGATTTATCTATTCCATAGTATATATAATGATAATTAAAATTATTTAACTTACTATAAACCTATTCAACTTAAATAGAAATTTAAACATAAATACATGAATATTATAAAATTATTTTTATTTATAATATATTAACTTATATATTAATATATTATTTTTATTTTTGAATAATTATTTTTTCAATTAAAAATCTTATATTATACATTTATTTTATAATTTAAATTTCATAAAATTCAACTTTTTTATATTTAAATATTATTAATTATTAATCTAAAAATATTATATTGAAATAATGTATTAATATAATAAAAAAAATTATATTTTCTAGTTTTTTAATTGTTTTTTTTTAAATAATTCTTTTTAAATCCAATTTTAATTTTTTAAAAATAAAAAAATCAATTAATTTATTAATATAAATTTAAATAAAAATATTTTTAATATAAATAAATATGAAATCTAATTTTTATTTATCCAAAAATAATAACAAATAAGATTTTGTTTTAAAGATTTTTAATTTTAAAAAGTTTTATAAATAAATTAATTTATATTAAATTTATATTTATAAAAAAAAATTTTTTTTATATCAAAATAAGATTTAATTAAATGAAATTTAAAATAATTATATTTGATTAATTATAATATTTAATATCAATAAATATTATAAATAATATTATAGGTATACATAGCTGCTTAACATTATTTGATTAATATACTAGTTTTAAAATATCTTTTCTAGTAGAAATTAAATGATTATTGTAAGCAGGCTAGCATTAAACTCATTGCAAATTGGATGCAAGAAATGTTATTTCTTTTCAAATATATATCTTGTAATATATGAATAAATAAAGAAATAATGTTTACCTACTCAAAAATAAATAAATAAATAAATAAGATATTATTTATATTAAATAAAAAAAATTTTTTTAATAAATAATATATTTATATAAGTAAATAAAATAATAAAATATATTATATTATAATATTAAAAAACTCCTTTTTAATTGTATTTAATTTGTTAAAAAAATTTTTTTATAGTAATTTTAAGCAATAAAAAATATTTTATACTCTTTATTATAAATAAGCCCAGTTCAAAAACTTAAAAACCTTTAAAATAACCAATATAATAAAATGAAATTTTTAATTAAAGTTTATTCAAGTTTGAAAATTTTGCCTATTTTTTAATTATATAAGAAAAGATTTTTAGCAGTTTTTTTTTTTTTATTCTTTTATATCTATTCTCATTATTATTATTTTTTAATAAGTAGTTTATATATTGTTTATTAAATATTGTATTAAGTAGTTTATAAATTTGTTACAAACTTAAAACTCTATCTATTTTCTAAAATCATTAAAGATTTTTCTTATTATATAACTTATTGTTATAAATTAATATATATTTGATTAATTTGTTAAGGCTTTATTAATTCCTATTAAAAAAATTTTTAAAGTTATAAAATGTATTTCAATTATTTGCTATATAACTTATAATCAAGTTAATTTCTAATATGTGTGTCTTTAATTGTGTCTCTTTTTTAATATTTGTTTTTCATTTTTGTTTACTTTATTTGATTATATTGTTTGCTTTCTTTCATTTTGAAAAAATTTCATTTCATCATATTTAAATTTTTTTCAAAACATTAAAAATTTTATTTAAAATATTTTTAATAATTTTTTTATGTTTTTTTAATAATATAAATTCTTTAATTATAAAATAATTTTATAAATTATAACTTTTTTTATAATTATATTCTTTGTTTTATTGGATTGACTTTGAATATATTTAGTAATTTTATAATATATTTATGAGCTTGTTGGTTTTGTTGTTCTTGCTATAGTTTTTTTAATAATTATTTGGAAAATTATCTTTATAATGCTTGTTTGATTATTATTATTTATATGATTTTGTTATATCTTGAATATATGTTATCTATATAGACTATAAAAGATTGTTTGTATAGTTTGTTCTTGGAAGAATATTTTATATTTTATAATTTTAAACAGAAACTTTTAATATTGTAGTTTTAATAGTTTGTGTTTTTTAATATTAGTTAAGAAGATTATTTAAACTTGAATATTGATATTTAGATTATTTAGTCAACTGTATATTGATCTAGAGTATTTATATTGCAATTTAATATTCTTCAGTAATTATATATTTTTTGTAGATTATATTTTTGATTATTATTATTATAGTATTGTTGAGAACATATTCTTTTTATTTTGAAATTCAATTTATTTGTTGATAATTTATTGGTTTGAAATTAATAAGTTTTTTGGTTTGTGATAGACTTTATTAATTATTCAATTTGCTTTATTATTGTTAGAATTGTTATTATATGCTTTTACTTTGTTTTATTCTACTTTAAGTTTTTGATTTTGTATTATTGTAAGAATAGTATTGATAATATTATTGTTTTGTAGTGTTCTGGAATATTTTAAGTTAGTAATTGTTTTGTTTATTGCTACTAATACTGCTTGGCTGTTGCTATATATTGTTATGTTTCTACCTATTGAAATTGTTGCTAGAGCTATAGTAATTACTATAGGTTCTACTATAGTTTATAAGAGAAAAATATAATTATATCTTGAAAGTTTGCTTAAAAACAATTAAATATGTGTTAGGTAAAATTTATTTGCTTTTGTATATTAAATAATCCATCTATAGATTAGTAATTTGTAAGAATTAATTTGATATGTATTGATTTATATAATGTATTATTAGATAAATTGAGATTTAATTCACTTGATAAATAGTTGTTGTATTTTGTTGGCAGAGAAATTGCATGGGACGTAGCCATGGTACATGATCTGGTGCATCGTGTACCCTGAAAATTGAAAATAATTAGTGGAGTTGCATAAGCGGTAACGCAATAATTAGAGTTTAGAATAGACTTTCTATAACTTTCCTTGTAAGGATAATCTATCGATAGTTTATTTTCCCTTAATTGTTTTTCTAGTAGTAACAATGATATAAATAGAAAGAGGCCATGCAAATAAGAAAAATGGTTTCTTAAATTAAAACCTTTTTAATTAGAATATGTGATAGTTATTGCCAAAAGGAATAAAAACTAATTAACTTATCTAATCTAGTACTTGTTGCCGATAGGATGCTTAGGACCATGAAGTGAAAAGTGGTAAAGATTTATCAAGAGAAGCAACAATGGAAAGAGAAGGAAAGAGTTAGTAGAACTTGACTAAACAATCCACATGCCTCAAGTAGAGAAGCCAAACACTTACCAATATTATGCGAGGAGTACTCTGAAGAAGCGACAGACTTGTTGAGAGAGATGTCAACAATTTGTAAAATAATTGTGAATTTGTTTAAGATTATTGATTACAAGCTGTCTGATATTATTCTGATTCTTTATTATAATATGTTTTTTGTATAGTTAGATTATGATTTATTTTTTGTTATATTTTTTTTCTTGTCAGTTATGTCTAAATTGTTTTTTATTATTGTTATCTATTTGATTTTGTTAATAGTTTTCTATATTACTGAATTGTAACTTGTTTTATATATATTTTGTATATTGTTTCTGATTGTAATTGTCTATAGTATTGTTATACTATTCTATATTTCAATAAACCATTTTGGTTTGTATTTATTGAATAGTTGATTCAAATAGATTAATTTTTGTTATTTTGTTAATTTGTTACTTTGATAGTTGATATATAAATATATGATAATTTTGTTTTTTGTTAATTGTTTTTTATATTTGTAATATTATTGGTATCTATGATTTCTTTTAATATTGTATTTAATTTGAATATTGTTTAAATATTTAATGTTCTTGCTAAAAATTTGTATTGTTATAATAGAAAAATAATGTCATATATAAGATTTTTATTCATGTGGAAAAAAAATATATGAAATGTTATTTTGTAAATAAGTTAATTAACTATTAGCAATTCTGTAGTTCTTGTAATTTAAGATATATAATGTATCCAATTAGTTCTAAGTTATTAATTCTTTTATGCCAGTTATTTGCATATAGTAATAATTGTTTATTTCAGATATACAGTAAAAGAAACTATTTTTAATAGAATTGCA